GACACACAGACAGACAGACAGACAGACAGACAGACAGACAGACAGACAGAAACAACAGAGGGAAAGTTAAGAAATTGAACCTACCAGTGGCGACTCGAACCACCCGCAGCCGGTCTGCAATACTTCCCAATCATGGCGTTCTTAGTAAAGTACGCTATGTTCCCAATACTTTCAGACTCATGTCATAGACTTGCACTTCTGGAGGGCGTACAGTCGGGGTCAACTCTCTTCGCTTTCAACAAAAACTTTTGCAAAAAACGTGCGCACAATGGACCGCGACATAACGCCCAAACTAAGGAGTAAAACACCAGTCTTGTTTTAGACAAGCGCGAATCTCCCCCCCCCCCCCTTTTCTAACCTTTCCGTCCCAACCTTTCGTCTGACTCATATACGGTGCGCTCCAGAGGGCACCGGAAATACCTCAAAAAGCAGGGTCTGGGATGCTATAATGCAAATCTATCTTTAAAGTACAGGGCCAACTCACTCTTTATTAATAAGGCCCCCAGAAATCCTTGGTCTGCAATTCTCCCGGACAAAGAAGGTCACCGGCCTCAAAGCACTGCACGGGTGTTTTATCATGTGAGACCGGACCGATTGCACCAAGGCTCTCTTTTTTCTGTAACTCTTGTGGGCCGACTCCGATAGTGAGAAAAGTAGTCATTAAAACTGCATTGGAAGGGGCGGGGGTATTTCTCAGAAGTCAGCCGCCATAAAAGAATATTCAGGTCGGCCCAAAGACTCACACTACGGAAAAATGAAGGGGGGCGATGTCCTGATTTGGTGCGGAATATTTGTGAGTTGTTATTTTTTTTTATAGAAGATGTGTCAACATGGTGGAAGAAGTTATGCATCAAGAAAACAGAAAATAGGAACAAAAAATTGATAAGGTTGAGGGTTCGAATCCCGTCAGGGACCAGACGTTGTGTCCTTGGGAAAGGCACTTTACACGAATTTTCCTCAATTCACCCAGGTGGGAATGGGTACCCGGCTATAGATAGCGAAAGATCTTGTCAGTTTGTTAGTGTTTGAGCGCTTAACCAGCTGCTTGCACTGTATGCTTCACGGGAAGCTGAGAATGTTTCTGAGTGTTCTATGGTCTGCTGGGGTAATGATATTATAGTGTAAAGCGCATAGAGCTTGCTTTCTAGTGGGGACATGCACTGTCATCATCATCCGGTGCCTTGCCAACTGGCGTGGGCGATCATGGACCTCCACTTCACTCTGTCTTAATTGCGTTTCAGCAATATTTATTAATAATATTATTATTATTAATGGAAACTGACGAGGCAATCTTTCTTTTGCTCTCTGTGGGTGGTTAGCGGGTGTTCTGATGTGGTTTGCTTCTTCTTTCCTATCAAACATATATCGTCCTTTTCTCACTTTCATCTTTTTTATGTCTATTACTCTCTTGTCTCTTCTGGCGCTTATAATAAAGGACCTTTTGCAATTGCGAGCGCCGCAAAACTCTTACTAAAACTAAACTAAAAGATGATGATTTCATCTGTGAACACGGATTAACAGGGACAATGAATGATACAGGTACGACATAACATGACATAATATGGGGTACACCACATGACGTACAGAGAACATGAACTAATATCATAATATAACACATAATCACACATCTCTCTTCCGCCCTTCAGCTAATATCGGAGCAGTGGCAGCTGCCTTAGGGTTCATCGTGTTCTTCATCCCGTACTGGGCCACGGGAACAGCTCCGACGGCTTTCTCCAAACCTCAGATGATGTCTATGGGACTGTTCTTCAACACGGCGATGGGCTGGGGAGTCGGGGCCTTCAGCGAGTACGAGGAATCAGGTGTGGGCAGCGAAAAGCGTTGTTGTTCATTTTAATTTTTAAAATATTTTTTTTTTGGCGGGGGTTATGCCCCGTTTCACAAGAATAAATAGCATTTATCCTTTTTATGCTCGTTTTATAAGAATAAAAAGCATTTATGCCTGTTTTATTATTTAAGAATAAATAGCAATTATGCTTTTTATGCCTGTCTTATAAGAATAAATAGCATTTATGCTTTTTATGCCCCGTTTCATAAGAAGAAATAGCATTTATGCTTTTTATGCCAGTTTCATAAGAATATATAGCATTTATGCTTTTTATACCTGTTTCATAAGAATAAATAGCATTTTTATGCTGCGCATTTCCATTTTCTAAAAAATGCTCAATGTGCAGTACATTAATTAAGAAATCACACCTTAAAAATCAATGGACATGCGTGTACGTAAAACATAGTATTATGCAAATAGGTCGAGTGGGTCTGCAGTTTGTGGTGGTGTTTTTGGTGATGAACTTGATATGCAGCACATAAGTCTGAAGTTTGAACCCAAGTGGGGTCGGAATGTTTCTTCTAACGCAGTGCTCTAATTAGGGAATATAATGTTCCTGCCTTCGAAATAATCTACATTGCCCCACCACCCCTCCCCTGCAACACTTAAACACATTTTTTCTTGTATCACAGTGCTGTAATTAGGAAATATAAT